TTTAGAGGCTTCCATTCTGTGAAATTATATTTCCCTAAGTATTAGCTAGTTTAAATCTGAGTTTCTATGAGGTGTTTGATTAGCAGAATTTTCTTATTGATCCAGTTAGTGAGGACAAGTTGGTATTTCATCAAAACTCCTATATTTCAATTTGGTTTCCACAGTGGATATTCATATTTGACTTAGCCCAGTTCATTCCCACGATTTTGGATTCTCTTCTCAACTCATGGTGATCTCTCAGAATCCTAACTTAAGAATCCTATTTATGTTGTTTCATAAAGAAGTATCTGAACTAATGGACTCTAAATATTTTTGCACCAAGGTTTTGGTGTTCAGAATGGGAAGATAAGTAGAATATTCTTGAGACATCCACAAATGTGTCACGATACCCTCTAGGTTATATTACAAATGTCTTAATAAAGATGTAATAAACTGGCAAATTTGATATTCTTAATAAGGTGACTGGGAAAATTAATGGCATTTGTAATGAATTTCTTTATTTTTCCCTTTGCCCTTCTACCATCTGGTGGCTTTCTTAGTAATGACTTAATACATTCTTCATTCTACACTGGTAATTAAGAGTTCATGCATTTCATCTGAATATTCATATTTGTGTTGCTAGCATTAGGGATAATATTCCTATTTCAGGGATCTGCAAGCCATTATTTCTGAAACTGAAAAATTAAAGTTCTTCAGAAAGACTATCTTGGTGCTAATATTTGACCTCCTAGAGTATATGGCAAAAGCAGCACAACAAGGAGTACAATCTATAGCAGGTCTGACTAGTAAAATGAAATGTGACAGCCTTTAACCTACAATTTCTTGCATCCCCAGGGGCCCTATCACATGAGTCTTGGGAGTCCTCTTTCCTTTTGCCAGAATTCTTTTGTCCTGAATTTGACCCTAACAATAGAATACGAACAATAAAGAGGGAAACCTGGTAGGAAGACATTAATTCTTACACCTAGTATTCTTATATTCTTTCCTTTTATGTTTATGCTCTTCCTAAGTGTTATAAGCACACCAAGAGTACCTTTAGGGCTTCTAAGTTGTTCTAACCTCTTGACCTCTGTTACTTACAACTTGAAATAAATCTCCTGCTTCTGTTTAAGTTGCCGTTTTTGTTCATAGTTGTGATTTATTATACTCATGGCAGCCATAATGATTCCTTCAAAAGATTTACATGGTATATAATTTTCTATCAACTTACAACCATTCTATAGTTTTATATTTAATCTGTGTTTCTTATGATGAGCATGTAATTGGGTTTTGGTTTTTTATTCAGCTTAATAATTTTCATATTTTAAATAAACTAGTTAGTTCACTAATAGTTCATATAATTACCATTATATTTTGGCTTAAAGCTATCATATTATTTGTCTTTTATCCTCCTGATCTATGCTTGTTTTCTCTTATTTTGGATTGGTATTTTAGTTATTATACCAACTTTTTTTCTTTAATAGCTTACAAGCTTATACTCTTATTATTCTTTTACTGCAGAGATTGTAATATTCATATAAAAATCTTATATGATATTTTTGCTGTTTTCCTAGACATTTGCAAAGGTTTTAGAGCCCTGAAATTCCATTTATCCTCCTCCTGACTCATATGCTATCACTAAAATTTTAACTTCATATATAGTGAAAACTCCACAAGAACTTGTTAAAGTCAGTACTTATTTCTTTTTATTCATGTATTTCTTAGCCTTATCAGTGTTTTGTGTTTTTTTCCTGCATCTCTGGACATATTCCTTACTTTTGGGTCATTTTATTCCTGTCTAAAATATAGTATTTGCATTTTCTTTACTATAAATATGCTAATATGACTTTTATCAATTTTTACTTGTCTGAATATATATTTCATCTTAATTCTTAAAGGATATTTTCTTTTTTCCAGCATTTTGAACTATTTCACTTTTTCCAGATGACTTTGAGATTTTTCTTTTTGTGCCTGGTTTTAGTATGATGAATCTAGGCACGAACTAGTTATGGATAGGAGGCCACAAGATAGAAATAGGGATAAAAGAGAAAAGGAGAGGAAACATATACAAAAGGAGGGGAAAACAAAACAGATTACAAGGGACAAGGGGGGGGGGAATGGCACCCACTTGGAGTTTTGTGGTCATTATTTTTGGTTTATTGCTTTTAGCTGCCCTGCTTCCAGTCTATGTTCTTTCAGTAAAACGTCACCATTCACTTTTTGGGAATTACATCATTTCCATCATCTGTACTAGATTTGACTACTGAGCGTCCATGCTGTGGAAACTCATGTGAGCTACCTGATTCTGTCCTCACAGTGGCTCTTTGACTTTCTCTCCTCAGTCTTTTGAGCTACCCCAATTGCCTAATAAATTCCTTTCTTTCTTAAGTTTGCCAGAAGCAACTACTGTTGCTTGCAACCAAAGAACTCTGATAAAATCAAGGAAGAAAATAAGTGAAGATAAATGGATGCTGAAATTAAGATCTGGAGTATGACTGCCCAGGAATATATTTCCAGTTCCTAACATGGTAGGTATTAAGTACAACCAATTCTAGTTTAAACCTGAAATAAAGTGCAAATTAGTGTTCAGTCTTCTTATATCCCTAGGGCAAGTATAATCCTACCATAAGGTAGTAGAGGGTTTCCAAGGAAAATCTACTGTAGGATTGACATTACAATTTTGAGTACTGAAAAGACATTATGTTTCCTAACGCAGAATGATAACTCTATTTTTATTATGTAAGATTTTTATGCCTTTGATACCTTCACATCTTTGGCATAACTAACGGATTCATCAATTTTAAATTGAACTTCAGCTTGTCTAGCCTCCTCACCTCCCCCTCCCTTGATTTGCCCCATGGAATTCTTTCCTTTCACTGCCAAGGATTAAATTCTCTGTGAAAGGCTTGAAGGCATCAGACATCTGTACTGGAAATGAGACAGAAAACTTTGCAAAAGGAAAGAAGCAATCAATCCCAAAGTTTAAATAAGAAAATAATTGAACTATAATTCAGATTGGAAAAAAGTTTGCTTTCAAATTTTTTCCCTGGCTTCTTTGTCATAAAAGAAACATCATTTATGATTAATAAAAAAAACTATTCTTCACTTTAACAAAAATGCTAAGTTTTGTATATTTTAAACACCAAATAAACATCTTCATAGAGAATGCCAATATCTGGTGTCCTAAATGATCTAGGAAACCTAAATGATCTTATATTTACAGTTCATCCTCACATGCCAGACTCTTCACATACTAGAATAAGAATATAATTTAATCAAATGTCTAAAGTTTTTTACAGACAAAGGACCTGTGATTTAACCAAGTTGTCATGTGGGAATGCAGTGGCTCTTTGTCATTACATAACTCATGAAGTATCCAGAGCTCTTTCCATTCAGAGTAAGAGAGTACAATTGTTCAATAGAATGGACTTTTTCTGCACATGTATAGCTATATGTGAACATACTAAATTTTCATAATAGCCCAATTACATTAACTCTATATTGGTGGGTAAGCAACTCAAAATAGAGAACTGAATTCAAACTCAGTTTTAATCCCATGTGGGACACTGTTTTCCTTGGGTGATAGGTTAGTGGTCAGAAGACAACCCCCTGCCCTCTGATTCCACAGGTCCATTGCTCTCTCTTCAAGCCATGCATCTGAAAGAAACCAAATTGCTAGCAACATGCAAATGCCAGATGCGATGAGTGCAAATAGAAAGGGCCCACAGCATATTGGATAGTTAACTATTACCTTGTTATTTTATTAGTCTTTAATCTCTCCACAAAGGAAACACCTTAAAATAATTTTATATTCTATATTTAATTGGTGTGAGGAGTCATAAGCTGTGACATACTAAACTGACTGTCCATTTAGATATGATGATAAGGGAGAACATATGAGAAGGATATATTTTCAGAACCATATCATCTCAAGCTTTGGTCAGTGGTTCAGTCTATTAATTTAAAAACTCATGAGGAGTCTGAGACTGGGTATGAGGGAATATGACTCACTGGACAAGAGCTAAGCTCTAGATAATAGCTCATATAAAATAGCCCCTTGAAAATGTCTTTTCTTTATGTTTATTTGTCATGGGAAATGGCATCAAATTTTGCTCTGTATGAGAAAATTTAGCTTCAGGGAAAATTCACACAGGTTAGTCATTTTCTCAAGTTTCCCAAGTGGCTAGATTACCTAAAAAGAAAAAAGAAAACAGGAAAAAAAAAAAAAAAGACTTAAGGGCCCTTCACTTTTCTTACAATTGTTTGGACTTCAATTCCATTGAAGAGTGACTGGAAAAGTCACTCTATAAAATGACTCTTTAATATTTGATAAATGAGTCGGTCTTCTGAGCCTATCTGTTCATATCAGTCATGCTCTCTGCTAAGACTGCATACGTTCACGTGGGATGGCCATTAAGCAAACCTTTCAAGAGGACAGGCGTTCAGTTCTTTTCTCTTATTCCCCAGAAAGAAGAATAATAGAGTAAAGCCTGCAGAGTTAAAAGGAAAAGGAATGGGTATCAAATACACAGAAACACATACCCCTTTTAGTCCAAAAGGCAACATAACTAAGTGACAAAGAGCTGCATTTTAAGTGGCAATGTGAATAGGAGACATTTATTCCTAAATCCACAAGACAATTTAATGAGCTCATGGAACAAAATTATTACTAGGCCCTTGATAATTAGGAAAATTGAGGTAAAAAGATACTGAAAATATATCGAAGAGTACACTATTAATCTGAATTTAAAAAACAGAACTTGCTCAAATATCCTAGTTTGGAGAAATGAAAATCAAGTTGGGGAGCGATTTGGCCAATAGGGATAATAAGTTTTCAGCTCCCATCTGGACCCAGATGTTTTTTCCATTTTTACTCCAAGTGAGATAGCACTGCTTTAACCACAAACTAAGAGAATTTGGGTCTTTCCTAGAGAAATCAGACTGTCAGACTCTTCCTTGGATTTCTCCCCCTCTGTCCCCCACTTCCCACCCTTCCACCCATGCTCTCCACATATACCTACCAGTTGCCACAGAACCAGCTGCCTCAAGACAAGGCTGTTAAGAGAAGTCTTTGCATGGCAGGACAGTCATCTGTGACCTCACTTCTGACTCTTGTGTCTGGGAAAATATAATGCATATCCATTGTAGGCAATATAAAAAATATGCTAAATATCTATTTTTAAATTATTCATAATCATGACTGTCAATATTTTGGTATAGAAAAACATTTCTTATCTAAATAAAACATGTAAATGTACACTTAGTTGGGTTCACACTACTTATGCAATTTTGAGTCCTGCTTTATTTTTTAAAAAATATTGGGCCCTCCCTGGTGGCGCAGCGGGTTAAAGCAC